TTTTTTTTATAAAATAAAATTCCTAATTTAATATATTTTGTTTTTGAAAGGTATGGCTGTCACATCAGCATATATGGCAAAATATATTATTCGAGATATAGTTGCTTATGTTGGTCCAGCTAGAGATGTTATGTCACTTGCTAAAGTAGAGATTAGTCTCGATGCTGTACCTGAAGGAAAAAATGCTGTCTTTGAATGGCGTAATAAACCCATCTTTGTTCGTCATCGTACACCAGAAGAAATCGCAAGAGAAGAAGGTGTTAACGTAAGTCAGTTACGTGATCCACAAAATGATGCTGATCGTGTGAAAAAAATCTGAATGGTTAATTGTTATTGGTATTTGCACACATCTTGGTATGAACAAAAAAAAAGCCAATTTAATTATATTTATTTTCCAAAATTTCATTTAAGGTTGTATTCCAATTGCAAATGCTGGCGATTTCGGTGGTTACTATTGTCCATGTCATGGTTCACATTATGATGCATCTGGACGTGTACGTAAAGGTCCTGCACCACTCAACCTTGAAGTTCCTCAATATGTGTTCAAAGATGACAGTACCGTTATCATTGGTTAGAATATAACTCTACATAATCATCAACCCGTTTCCTTTATTTGTCACTTCTTTTTTTTGATCTCTAGTTTATTATATACTTTCGCATATAAAGAATCATTTTGCCATTCATGATTTCGTTCTTTTTTTTTCTTCTGCATTCATACAAAGATTAAAATCGTTTTTTTTCTTTATTTTATTTCCTTGTTCATTTTCAAATTAACAAAAGTAGATATTATTTTTTTTTAAAGAGAAACAAAAAAATTTTCTTTGTTATTTTAACCATAGTAGAGAATACCATTTAAATTTTGTTTTAAGACAAGAACCAGGCCTTCTTGACTAGCATCATATTTCCATAAAACATATTCATTATTTTTACGTGCCATTTTAACATAATGATTAACTGCACGATAAAGATCATGTAGTTTAGGATCATGAACAGCATCTGCAACTTCTTTTAATTTAATTAATTTCTCATTTGTAACTAATGAAAAATTTTCATTCGGCAGTAATGTATCATCAGAACGTTTCTCTGGTTCATTATGTTCTTTTACATCGGCGATTGGTAAACCAAATATATAATGAACATGTGCAGTTAAAATAAATGCAGTTAAGAATATAATGAGATTCTTTAAAGAAAATTTTAAAATAGAAATATTTTGGTAGAATATTCTTCAATCAAACTTACTTGCATTGTGTGTGTATGTGTTTCTCTCTGAAGCTCAAATGAATATGAATCTAGAAGAATGTAAAAGTAATAGTTTAGTAGTCAGTATATATATTAGAATCTGACTCTTTATTCCTCAGATTTATATCACATGTATGTAGTTACTCATTTTCAAATAACGTCACAAATGAAACTACAGAAGACAACAGTGTCTTGTTTTTTTTTTCTGACACTAATCTCAAAAATAAGTTGTTATAAACAGATATTTAACTAACGGAAAAGATCAATATTTTTACACAAAAAAAGAAGAATATATGATTGTACTTTTTTTATTCTACTTATAAATAGACTTACAGATGTTAGGAAAAATTACTAATATACAAATAGTCATATATAATTAAATCTAGATTTGATTTAATTCATATTCTATTTTGAGATCGATAATTATGAACATTATAGAACGTCGACTAAGAGAACGATGAAGTATTCAAGATGTTTAAGTTATAGTATTTTCAAACAAGAATATTATAACAAAAAAGTAAAATGTTAGAAAACTTTAAAAAATAGAATTCTGTGTCATGCAACCATGTCCCACTCAGTCGGTACGTTATACTTCTTGAATATTGCATTATTTGTTTATTTGACAACTCATTTTTGTAGTGTTCCTGACATAGAAATATTAATTTGTCTTATTATTACAATAAAATGTTGTTAAAGAAGTTCAATATTGATAATTAAAACTACACAGTGAATGTTTTTCTTTTCAACTTTATATTTTGAAAAACATTAATAATAATAGATTACATTAGTTTAATGATATATTGTAGGATAGAAATTCTATCTTATTATATGTAAATAGTTTCTTTTTATAGATATATTCTGATATCAGTATGATTATACTAGTGCAAACATGTAATTAATTCTGTATCGTTAATCATATAACTATTACTAATGAAGTCTCTATTCAGCGCATATGACTATAAAATAATTAGATCTATACAATTTCACTTCCCTGTCTACGTATACGTTTGATATAGTATATTTAGTTTACGTCAGCGTTCCCATTATCGTCATACTTCTAGACTTCTACGTATTGAGTATTTAAAAAGTATACTGTTAATACTATTCATCATTTATTAATGTTTGCAAGTCCAGTAATGCATGATTTTCAGCTCTAAAACGATAATTGAATGAGTGTTTATCATATAACTCAAATGAATTTGTTCAATCGTAAAGTCTTGAAGATTGGTGGAAATGTGTAATACATTTGTAAAATAGAGACCAGCACGGAGTCAGATAAATTTCATATGAATAATTCAACTTTAACGTTGAAGATTATTGAAGTTCATAGTTTTGTTGCCCGAGATTTTCTCTACAAAATGACGTATTTTGATGGCTAGGTCGATGCTTTGTTGAAACTCGCCAACACAAAAGAAAAGTCGGAGTTATTTTCGATTCCGACTTTTTCTATATTTTATTTTGCATTGTGAGGCTTGCTAAGACGACGTTAAAGTTGAATTATTAACATAAAATTTATCTGACTGCGACGGTGACTACGAAAATGACTCTGTGCAGGTCTCTGTTGTAAAACCTTCAGTGAAATTTAGAGACTACCAGATTTAAATTCAATTAATAAAAAAACATTTTTAAACTAATTCCATTCGAGGTTTCTTTAACTAGTTTTAATATTAGACGTAATGCCTTGTTCTACTTTTTT